GGCATCCCCCCGCCGGCCGCGAAACCGGGGTCCCTCGGTGGCTTCTCGCCGCGGTTTCTCTCATTCCTCCTAATTTGAGCGCACCCCCTCTATGAAATCGCTAGTAATGAATCCCTGCCCCCCGCTCGGTTTTCCAAGCCTGGAATTTCCCCCAAATTAGGGAGAAAAAGAAGGGATTAGCCGCACAGCAGATCTACCAGCCAGGCAGGAGAAAGTTGAATGGAAATCGGGAAAAACCACCAACGGATCCCTTCCCAGATCAGACCAGCTACTTGGGGGGTGGGAGGAAGAAATGGGGGGGGGGGAGAAGACTTTCGAGGTACCTAAAAGCAAGCCCCCAAGGTCGGCGATGCCGTGGATCGGACCCGGGATCTTCCCCCGCGGCCGATGCGAGGCGGCGGCTCCGCAGCTCTTCCGGCCGCTCACGGGACGGTCTGATCCCGCCGTCCTCCCCGGAAGAAATCCCGGGCTCCGCTCACAATTCCCAACCGCGCGCCTGGTCCCGCGCTAAACTCGAGTGACGGAGGAGAGTTTTCTGCGGCACAAGAAGGGTTTCCGTTAGAACCGGTTCTATCCTTAGGACGGCGGCGGCCGGAATCATCTGGTGACGGGCGCGTCTGCGTCGACGTTGTTGAGGAGGAAGAGTTCGGGGTGAGCGGCGAATCCCAGGCGGCGCTGGAAGAGGCGAAGGACGAGAGTTAGAGCTGGGGACGGCCCGAGTTGGGCAGGGTCTAACAAAGCCCGAGTTGAGCAGGGCTTAACAAAGCCCAGGGTGAACACGATGCCCAACCCAGAGGCTGGTGCGTTGCTGTAAGCTCAGCTTTAGAGGGTTTTTTTTTGGTTTAAACCCAAAAGCCGTGAGCGCCAGCGGTGAGGAGGGAGGCGGGGAAGAGCCTCCATCCCCCGTGCAGGCACGTCCCCGTGTCCCCGGCGAGGACGGGATCAGCCAGGGCGAGGACGGCAGCTCCCCGGGGACCCGCGGGCCCCCGCCGCACCCGGGGGGGGGGGGGGGGGCCGCCCCCGAGAAGGGAGGCAGCGTGCGGCTGCTGGGACCATGCTGCGCTCCTGCCTGCACGTGTGGCCACAGACACTCCCTGACCCCACT